AACTCAGCAAACAGGGATCGAGTTTTCTCCAGCAGGCAAGGTTTACTCCAGGTCTGGAATAGTGCCCGAGCTTCCCAGCGGTCAGGAAAAAACTTGTGGGGAACAGATGAGCGGCTCCTTTCGTATTTTCCATCCATCGGGAAAAGCTGCATCTGAAAAAATAATAGCTGAACTGGAAAATAAAATTAGACAAGTCTGAAAGAATATGGAAACCATCTCTGACCTGGTATTGGAAAAGAGTCTCAAGTATTAGAAAGGAGAGAAGCTGAGAGAGGGAATGGACAAGTTTTGGTCTCTACTGGGAATATGGAAGGAATTATTTCATTCTTTTTCCCCATCTATTTGTTCCCTCTATGGCACTCTGTGTGGCTTGCCCTCTGTCTCTGTCATAAATATGTGGCAGAGACAAGTTTTTCAGCGGTCCCCACCAAGCCATCTGTTTTGCATCTGTGGTTATGCATATGTAAATATTATTATTAATAGTAGCAGAAGCAATCATAATGACAGCAGGAATAGAAACACTATTAATAGTGCGAGCGCTGACGCTGGTGTTTGCGCTGCTGCTGGCGGCCGAGCTGCGTGCCGGGACGGCTCTGCGTCTGGGGAGGACCAGGAGGAGGATGCTGCCATATGGAGCCACCGGTGGGCACAGCCACAGCTGTGTCACGATGGGGCTGTGCTGCCATGGTTCCCTGCAGACCCTCACCAAGGACCTTCCTGAGGGAAATGGCTCCGTGCTGCTCCTGCTCCTCTAATGAGGGGAGAAGGATTCACAGTGGGGGGAGCACATCCCAGCAGCTCCGAAGCACCTGGACACAGCTGGAAGAGCTGCATGGAAAAGGTAATTGCATCATTCCTGCTTATTCAGGGGCTGATTGGGTCCCATTCAGGTTGGGGCATAGAACTGTTTTCTGCACAGCCCAGTGCTGTACCCCGGGTCTAACTCCCAGCCCAAAGAAACTCATCCCTGTGAGGACTGTGGGATTTTGGGGTGTGCAGCCTGTGCTGGGAGAGGCACAAGCCAATGAACCACAGCTCAGCACACTGTTTTCCTTCCAGATTCTCCCTGGATCGAGGCAGTACCTTTGTTCTAATGGGAGGAACGTTATTTTGTTCAGCTCCGGTTGTTTTGCTGAATCTGTAGCACATTACACAGCCCAACTTCTGGTTTGTATTTTTTCCAGTTATCGTGTTTCATGCATTCTGGCCCCTCTCATCCAGCCCTGCATCCCCCCAAGCAGACAGAGTGGGATGTGGGCCCTGAGTTCACTGCCCTCAGGTGCACAGAGCACTGAGGGATGCTGCTGCCCTGCATTCCCTGCTCAGACACCCGCATCCCATTACCATGGCCAGGAGCAGGGCTCTGGGGCAGTGCTGCTGCCGCTCACACTTCACATCATCAAGTTTCTGAAATCCGGCTGGAACCCACCATTTTTGGAATGGGAACAACCCATTTTTGGCCATGGCAGATCGCAGAAGCACAGACAAGGGTGGGGGCAGCTGCCATTGTTTTTGTAGAAGCCCACTCTTTGGCAGAGCATCATAGCTTCTCCCAAACCTCCTGCAGCAGTGTTGTGCTGAATGCCCCTGTGCCCATCTGCCTGCAGGAGCTGGGGCAGATGGAGTCCTCCCCTCTCTTGGATATCTTCATCCACAGGCTTTTAAAACACAAGAAAACCGCCTGTGAACTTCAGGAATGCATTCCTCCACTTGCTCTATCTGCCCTCCTGTAATGACAACAACTTCCCAGGGTGCAAAGACACCCTTGGGTAAATTCAGGATTTGCTTCTGGCTGTATCCCAGATGTCTTCAGCTGCTCAGCAGTGTCATTCCCCTTACGTTGGCCAGTCTGAGAGTGGCTTCCATGTGAGCAGGTTGACTCATGAGGTGCACAGCTCTGAGTCCTCTTTCATAATCTCACAGTCAGTGGAATTACCAATCCTCACCCATACGCTGCGTTTATTTGAGGTTTGCTCTGCTCAGCAGCACAGCCCCTGTCCTCATTGCCCACAGAGCAGTGGGTGCCCCATTCCTGGCGGTGTGCAAGGCCAGGCTGCACGGGGTCCTGGGCAGTTTGAGCCAGCAGAGTGCAGCCAGCCCACAGCAGGGGGATGGAGCTCCATGATCTTTAAGATCCCTTCCAACCCAATCACTCTGTGTTTCTCCGATTTTGAGGAGCAAGCGGTGTCTGTGGGTGGGCTGGCAGATCAGCACTATTCCTCAGCAGCTCCTCCGAGGGCAGGGAAGCCCCTTTCCCATCCGTCCTCACACTGGATGGGAGCCTGCATCATTTCAGCACAGCTTGGTGCTCACGCAATGCGCCCACCTCACAAAAGAGGCACCTCATGGCACAGGCATCTGTCACTGAAATCTGCCTGCACGAACGGCCGTCTGCACCACCGGGGGGAAAGAAAGGCATGACAGCACAATTAGTGAGAGCAAATGAAAGGTCGTTTGAAGAGGAGGGGGGAGGAAAGGGGAGAGCTGCATAAATCCCTGGTGGGGTTTTGGGCTTGACATCAAAACCCCTTAACAGTGTATTACTTCAGCCCCCAATGTGGACAGATGTTGAGCTGTGGCTCAAAGGAAGTCAGAAATCTTTCCTTAGAAAAAATTTGGCTAGGAAACTAAAGAAAATATTGTGAAAGAAAAGGAAATAAAAGCTCACTAAAGGAGATTTATCACTGCCCCAAGCATTTCTGTATCCTCCAGTCTTATGAGGTCTCAGCCTCAGGGGAGGGAAGAGGAGAAGGTGGGCTGCTGCTGCTCTAATGGGCCGCTCATTTAGAGCAGGCACATTTTTGTCCAGTTTAGTGATGGAGGAGGCTCACCCAGCCCAGAGGCTCCTCCAGCCCACCCTGAGATCTCACCCAGCAGCCTCTGCACCAGCCCACAGCCCTCCATGGCACATCCATCTCACATGGCCTGCCCCTCTGGCACTGACCTGGCTCTCGCTGGGTGTAGACAACACTACATGTGGTGGTGATGCCTCCCAGGTCTCTTCCTGAACTGCAACCACCATCCCGAGGTCTGCACCAGGTGTGCAAGGTTTGGATGCTGCCATATGTTTGTGTTTGTCTACACTTCAAGCTCCTCAACCACATTTTTTGCCCACTCAATTTTGCCACGTTCTTCTGGTAAAACATTTCCCAAAAGAGCTTGGTATTACCCACAAACCTGGAGGTTTTGATGTCCATTCCCTTTCCAGTGCCACAAATGATGATGCCGAACAAAACCAGACCCAAGGATCCTTTGGGAAACTATTGCTGAAAAGGAAGCCCTCCTTTGTCCTCAAAAAAATGTCCATTAAACCCAGCACAGGAGCCTGCAGTACAGGAACAGCTCTCATCAATGTTTTGATCCATGGGAATGAGGATCTCCCACTCACCCCAGCACTGAAGACCCCCACAAAGTGCCTGAGCTCCTCATCCTCATCCTGTCCTCCCAGGTCCCCTGCATTTGTCTCTGCCATTAAACGATCTTCCCATCCAGGTTCTTGGCTTCGGTTAATGCATTCCCTGCACTGAGATCCCCATTCCCTTTTTTAGCTCTTTTAATTTTCTGTCTACACTTTACTTGCTGTGTTTGATGGTTTTTCCTGTTCTCCTCATGTGGGAAACCTTTCCACTTTTTAAATGCTGACCTTCTCCCCGTGAAACCTCCTTAACCTTCCCAGTGAGGCGGGCAGCATGTTTTTTAGGACCTCTTAGTTCTCTTTGAGCCGTGGCACATGTTTTACTTGGGCTTTAATAGAGTATTTTTTAATCGCCGCCAGACTGCTCGCAGGCTCCTTGCTCTCTGTCTGCTCTTTCAAGCTCTGTTGTTGCTATTGACTTATCACCTTATTTCTTCATAGTTCCTTTTCTTGAAATTGCAGAGCCGCTCGCTGGGTTTATTTGCTGTGCTCCCTCCCGCTCCAGCACTAAATCGGCAGTGCTGTGGTTACCAGCAGGGAGCAGCCCTCCCACGAACACCTTGTGAGCAGGTCCTGTGCGCAGCCCCTGCCCAGACACAGAGCAGCAGCTTCCAGCACTGCTGGATCCCGGAGCCTCGTTACTGTATCCAGAAGTACTTTTCCCAATGGATCCCTGAGGAAACCCGTGCACAGATAGCTGGAATCTCCCACTATTACCACCTGACCTGAATTTCAGCTCTCTAATCTCATTTCATGTTTTCTGATCGCTGCACTTATCCCAGTCAGGGTCAGTAACACAGGCCTTGCTCTATCTACATTGTTGGAATCTGGGATCTATCATCTCAAGAGCTCTGTACTGACACCCACTGACTGTTCAGTAGGCAGCTCATAGAATCATGGAAGCATTCAGGTTGGAAAGGACCCTTAGAAATCAGCTGGTCCAACTCCCCTGCAACGAACAGGTACATCTACAGCTTGATCAGGGGGCTCAGGTCATCAACATCCCTGTTACGCTGCAGCAATTAGAAAACCTGCCATCATTTTATGCTGGGATAGATTTGGGAACGCCTCTCAGTTTTACCTTGGCTTTGTGGCTGAATTGTGCTCCCGTGGTTCTGCCGGCAGCACCTGTGACGGTCCCACCTTTTTGACTGCAGCTGCCCCACAGATTTCCCCGCTGGTCTCACTGTGCTTTGGCCGCATCCTCCAGAGGGGCGCAGGCCTGCATTTCTGCACCCTCTCACTTCCCTCCCGCTTCTCATTCCAGCACTCCCGTGCTTTTGCCGCTTCCAATGCCACCAGCATTGCGACCGAGCGGCAGCTTCTGGTCCGCTTCCCAGCTGCGAGCATCTCCGCACGCCGAGGCTCCGGCAGCAGCCGGCGGTGCAGGCAGTGCCGCCCGGCTCGGCCCGGCTCGTTCCGCGGGTTTGGGATGGCCCCTGGCGGCGGCGGGCCGCGCTGCAGCGGCGGCAGTGGGAGCCCGGAGCAGCCGGCACAGCCCGCTGCAGCTCCTAGGGCAGCGCTGCCTCTGGCTCCCGATAAACCGGGGTTATCGCTGATAGAGCTCGGTATCCGTGGGGTTTTGAATGCAGTAAGAGGAAGAGAGCGTGTGTTTTATGTTTTGCAAGTATCCCTGTGTGCCTTGTGGTGACAGCACACTCCATGCACGGGGACTTCAGAAGCACCAAGGCCACTGCACGATGTTCCACTGAGCCCCTGTGGCCGGCTGCAGAGGCCAAGGACTGAGCTACAGCTGAGGGCAGAGGGTCATCTTCCAGTGCCACGGTGAGTTCTCTTTGAGGCAGTTTGAGAGATACAACCACGTGGCACTGGACAGCCTAAGACCCATCCTGTGAGTCACCACTGTGCCAACTGCCCAGCACAGTGGTTGCTGGTCCCCAAGGAGATACATTTTCAGGGGAGCATGCTAAGCTTTGGGATGTGGTTCCCAAGGGGTTCCGAAGAGGCAGAGCTGGCTGGTCAGCAGGATGGAGGCACCTGTTCAGCAAGGTGCCACTTCTCTCACAAGCTTTTGGGAGTGAGTGGGGTAATATATATGTGTGAGGAGGAGAGGTGACAGGCCTTACAAGATGTATCAAAGAATGTACAATTGTAGGAGATAGAAAAATTGTACAAGGTATCAGAATATTGCAGTATTTTGTACATGCAAACCTTGGTTGTGAATGCAGAGCATCCTCTGTGCACAGAAGAGAGCATCATAATATTCACAATGTGCTTCTATGTGTCTAGAAACAGTGACCACGTGAGACAAGGTGGGTGAGCTGCTGGGGCTGTGGGTGTTTAGCTGCATCAGCCCCTTCTCAGAGTGCAGGCTTCTGCACAGACATTATAAAGGGTGGTGGCATGAATGTATGCCGTTGAGTGCCTGATGCGTTTCCCCTGCAATCCTGACCCCTCTGGAAAGCACCAAGTACTTCAAAGCAGTGGAATATAATATATCTTGCTTGGAAATGAACGGCATGGGTGGAAAGTGGTGTCAGCAAAAGTTGTGTTTTATTCCTGCATACAAAACCATTCATCTCTTAAATGATAGCAGACACAAAGCGTGGACAATAAAAGATGCCAGAGGAAGGACACGCTCCCTGCATGGGACCAGAGACTCTCCAAGGATACAAGGGACGGCCGTGAGCGTGTCCCAAGATCTAAGGCACTGCAGGGAGAGCCATCTCTGCAAGAAGCAATGTCCCCAGGTCAGTTCCCCTCTGCAGGACGACACTGCAGTCCCACTGTCAGGCACTGTTGGCACGCTCCACTCTCTGGTACTGCCCATGTGCACAGCTAGCTCCTCTTGCACGCCGCTGCTTGCAGCTGTTTCCTTCCCGCAGCCTGGGGGCAATGCTGGGGGTCAGCTGGGGGTGCAGCTGCTCACACCAGGCTGAGACAGGCCTGGACTCAGAGCCACTCCTCCCAGCCACCTTCTTACCACAGCTGCACAACCTCCCTCAGTCTTACACTGAAAGATGTCTCTTCCCCATAGGAGAAAGAGGGGTCCAGGATCCCAGAGGAAAGGACCAGAGCGTTGTTCCCTCCTGCAGTCTGGCCCTGCCTATCCCATGCTCTGTCCTGCTCTCCCCTGACCCACAAACCTTGCTTTCAGCCCTTTTCCTCCCAGCACCACTAGCAGCATCAATCTGTTGTGATGTTCTCAATAGCACTGACCAGGCTGGGGCTGCCCGGTGCTGTGGACCTTGGGTACTGCTGGTGAGAAACACCCAAAGACAGGGTGGCACAATAGCACACATACCATTTCCTGGAGAACTGCTGGTCTATCTCCTCTAAGGACTGTCCTTTTGTTTCCGGAACAAAAAAATAAATGAATATGACAGCCATCACTCCCATCAGCCCATAGAGAAGAAACATCCATGAGAAACCAATGGCATCTGCAGAAAGATTCAAATGAAGGGTCTGTCAAAGGGAAGTCATATCCTGGGATAAGAATGAAGCTGGTGGCTTACTGTGGGGTGGTCACTGTCAAGAGCCCTTCCAAGGGCAGGGAAATCCCCTTGTCTGCTAGGAGAAGAACTGGGGAGCAGCGAGGGAGGACTCAGAGCTGCCTTTCCAGCAGCACCACAGAAGGAAGGTGAAAGTGGCTGAGCTTCAGCATCCAGCAGTGCCAACTGAATCCCTCAAATGACAGTTCTGCCAGCAAGAAACATTGCAAAGCTACTGGTGTGAAAGCTGCAAACTCACGGTTTTCTGACAGCCCAGTGTTGTGGCACAGCCCTGTGCACGAAGGATGGTTTTTACAAAACAGGTGATGGAAGGGCCCAGAAAAGTATCAATGGTGCTTGTTTGCTCTCAGAGGCAGTAGGGTCACAGTCAGGACCCCAGGTTTCAGCACCACTTACTCTCCCATCAGCTCGTGGCAGCCACCTGCACTAAGCCACCTGTGGGACGTGGAGGGATGGGGATGGACACTTACCAATGAGATCCAGGAAGGAGAGGCTGATCAGTAAATTGGCTGCCCAGTTAAAGCTGTTGCAGAAGGCAAAGGCTCTTCCTCGTATTCTAGCTGGATAGATCTCACTGAGGACCAGCCAGGTCACTGCACAGATTAGAGGATAGAAAAAAGTTGTATGGTTTAAGAAATGTATTTGGGAAATGGGGAAGGAAGATTTCAGCAAGGTTTTTGACACTGTGGCTTCACCTGAAGCTCCCATGTCAGCACTGTGTGGAGGATGAGATAGCAATGGGCAGGTCCAGTGTGCAGAAAGTAGAGTGGGTAATTGGCCACTGAGCAGATAGGGGGAAAATGACATATCTGCCATCAGGACACGCTCCGTGTAAAGAATGGAGAAAGAGAGATTGTTGCATTTGGGCGAAAATCAGAGCTGAAAGCAGTATGTAACTTAGAGCAATCTTTCCTATCCTAGGGTTATTTTGCTTGAAATGATTTATGGAGTCACTGCCAAACTCATGGGACTTGCTGTGCACTGATGTTTTTCCTGTGGTTAGATACTGTTCTCTCCCATCAATGCATTTAAAACAACATGTGCCGGAAAACACTAGAACTCACGTGGAAGCAAGAACTAATCTCCATTCTCATCTGATGCAAAATGATTTCAGAAAAAGACCAACTGATACCAAGAAACTTTCTAGGAGATTCCACTTCCAGCTCTGCTGCTCTTTCTGGACAAGGCCCTCTGTGTTCCTCCTCACAGGGTGCTGTGAGCATTAGGCAGTGCTCGTGGGATGCTCTGATTTTGCAATGAGCAGGAAAAAGAGAACATTACAAGCGTAGTAATAGTATGGAAGAGAAGGTGATTATGATGCTGTCCCAGCCACACAGCAGACAGAGCTGCAAGACCAGGAAATGATTCAGTAGGCTGACAAGGATAAATTTCCAGTTTCCAGACACTCAGCTGCCTGGTAAAGCCGATGCATAATGAATGTTTCAAGCAGACTATAAAGATCAGCCCCAGTTTTATTCTCTGGGTTAGTTGCAAGGATATATAAACACCATACTTACTTGGTCCAAATCCAATTGAGAAAGCGCTCACAAAAGCCATCATGCTCAGCAGCGTAATCCAATTTAAAACCATATGTTCTGTCAGGGGAGCGCTGCCGAAAGGAGGGTCTGTGCTCTCCACTGTCTCCTTGTCGGACTGCCCTGCCAAGCCCATTTTCTGAGTGTGGGAAGAACGAGTAACAACCTCACTGCTCTGAGCACTGGCAACAGCTTTTGTAAGGCTTTTGGTAGCAGCAGAACCGAGGCCTGCCTGCCCGTTGCCTTCTCCTAAGCCTGGTGGGATGTGGGAGGGCGGGGGTCCCAGGGGGTGCTGGGGGAGGCTGTGGGACACGTTGGGGTCTGCAGCGGCTGTGCAGTCCCTGGCCATGGCCAATGGGGTGATGCAGCTGGTGAGGCCGATGGTGGTGACGGAGATGGCCATCACCACACCGCCAGCCAGGAGCAGTGCTCTGCGGCCAGCTTTGTCCGCAAAGGCCATCGCCACCAGTGTGGCCACCACCTTGATTGCCCCCAGCCCGACAGAGGCCAGGATGGCAGAGGAGTTGCTCTGGAATCCCACAGAGTGGAAGATTTTGGAGGCATAGCCCAGCACGTTGGGCTGCCCAGTGAACTGCTGGAAGAGCACCAGGCCCAGCCCCACCAGAGTTCGTCTACTCATGTTGTCTCTGGTCCTGAAAAGATCAAGAAATGAGTAGTGCTTCTCCTTACAGGGCTCCCGCTTTGCTGCCTCTCTGTCCTCAGCAGTCTGCAATTGAATGAGACCCTTCTGGCAGTCCGAGTCCCAGATGTTTAGTTTAACAGGGTTCACTGGGAGAAAGAGGATGCTGAGGAACTGCATGGCTGCTGGGGCCATGGCCAGCCCAAACATGTACCTCCATCCCTCCTGCGTATCTGCAAAGGCGTAATTCAGTGCGTAGGACAACAGGATGCCTACAGTGATGCCCGCTTCATACAGAGACACCAGCAGCCCTCGCTGATGTGCAGCCACCATTTCGGAGACATAGATGCAGCAGGCCATGGATGAGACAGAGATGGCAAAGCCCACCGTCATGCGTCCAATGAGCAGCCCAATAAACGACCTGGTCAGTGTGAGAATTAGGCTGCCAAACAACAGGACCACATTGCTGACCAGAATCGCCTTCCTCCGTCCATGGCGGTCAATGAGGATTCCTCCGACCAGAGAGGCAAGGAGGGCTCCAACCAGGAGGGAGCTCACAAGAGCCTCCTGCTTGAAGCAGCCAAGGCTGAAGTCTGCCTGCAGCTGCAGCAGTGCTCCAGAGATGATCCCCAGCTCGTATCCAAATATCAGCCCGCCCAGAAGAGAGACTGTTGCAGACAACAGGAGGACCAGCAGTGCACGACCTGGAAAACAAGTAAGCAAAGTGAGGTTCAGTTTTCTGGCTCTAGCAGAAAGCTATCAGCACACACAATCTGCAAAAAGCTCTTCCAGGACACCCAAAGTTTTCTATCTGCAAAGCTACAATAAGGAATTCCCCCCATTCATAGGTCATGTGCAAAGGCATGTGCACACACTCTCACTATTCACCAGCCCTGCACACGTTGCCATGGAATGCAGTGACACTTTTTGGGTTCAGAACTATGAAGATAGGGCTGTGTTGACAGCTTTGTTGTTAAGACTTGTATTTAAGTCTCGGACAGTGGTTTGCTTCTCTGGTGTTGTACATGCGACCCTCTGAGTTCTCTATTTCTTGGTTCTAGTTACTAGAACTGTCCAGGGCAGGGAATGCAGCTTCTACTTGCTCTGCATTAACATTATAAAGTTTCAGTCCATGATTTACAGCTTAGAACACCTATAGGACAAGAAGCACCCCTCACCAGCAGGGAATTCCACAGGTCACTCACTGGGACAGAACTGCCCTGGCCTAGTCCCATTCTTACTGGTCATTCTTATTTATCCTCCAATTTCATACCTAATTCATCCTTCAAGCTCTGCACAATTCTTGTTTCTGAACAGTACAGGTGCCACTGCCCAGTGCCCCTCATGCAATGCATTTTTCCCCTGAGCTCACCCAAGAAGGCCCTGCTCTTTGCCAAGCAGTCCCTGGACATCCTACATTCACCCACAGAAGCTGTTGCTTCTGAACTTTACTTTTATTGTCACTGAGCATTTATCACAAAATACAAAGTTACTGAACAACCTGAGGATCCACAGGGGATGGCACTATACTTAAGGCTTTGTGAACCACCATCTTCTTTTCCATTCCCCTGCCAGAGCCCAGGCAAAGAGAGAAATGGTTGGCCAAGTTGGTAAGTTGTTAACAACATTTCATCTCTTTTCCTTCCTCTGTGTCTTTCAGATAATTCATGAATGGAAGCAACCAAGGCAGAAGTTTTCCCTTTAACATCTCCTCATCAGTGAAGCAGTATTCGAGAGGTAGGGCTCTATTTATTATGTGATTATGTGGCAGGAAGAACTACCCCAGTGTGCAGATTCCCTCAGAACTGCAGCCCAAAAACAACTCTAGGCTCTAATATCTCACTAAAAATAAAATCTTCAGACCTCAGGACTGCAAGGTAAAGAGCAGGAATGCAAAGCCTGCAGTGAGACCTGATGAATGCCACATGCACTTCAACCTAAGTTGAAAATTTAAGGAAATTAAAAAAAAAGAAAAAGATTTTTTGGTAAAGAAAATAGCAGCATTAACTACTTCACTGCTTGGCAATTTAGTGGGAGATTGATGGCTGCTCTTCACAGCTCAGGGACGAACAAATGCTGGGATGAGACAGGGGGAGGTAGGGACTCTTTGTCAAACTTTGCTAAGGTGATGATGGGAATTTAATTTATATTTCTTGTTGTGTAAGAGGGAAACAACAGAGAGAAAGCCTTCTGCTGCCAGGAGCACAACCCTCAGCTCCTGCCTGGCCCCTAAGTTCTATGTGTGCCCTCAGCATGAGCGAGTGAATTTAGGCAGCTTTGGTGGAGTTGAGAGAATCCAAAAGAGTAAGGGAAAAAATCTGACTTGTAGGAAATAAGTAAGGGTGAATGATTAATGTAGCTGAAAGTGCTGCTCACAAGAGTTTTTCTCCTATCAAATCTTGCACTCCTGGCATTACTTTGTGGCATGGCCCTGATTTCTTCACCTCTCCTTCTCCGGGGCTCGGTGCACACGATCCCCAACCAGGCAAACTTTCTCAGTCTGATCCAGGTCTGCAGGATGTCTTCACAACCCTGTTGTCTGCCCCAAACAAAAGGAACGATTCCTTGACCTTGCCTTTCTCATACAGCTGAGCATGCAACTTTCCTAAGTATTTCAGCTTACTTAAAATAAGAAAAAACAGCAGCACAAGCAAACCAAACCAAACCCAAAGCGACCAACCCGCCCCAAACAACCCTACAAAAACAAGGTGCTTGCTGCACACACATCTCACCCTGCAGAGAGGATGAAAGGGCAAACATGTGCGAGCCGTGAGTCACATTGCTCAGCATGGCAGGGGGGAGCGCACACAGAGCCCCTGCTGCCATGGGGATCCTGGGGCACAAGCAGTGACAGTGACCTCTTTCTCCCCACCCAGTTTTGAAGGCACAGGTAGGGTACATTGACGTGCAAGTTTGTGCTGTTATACACTGGTTTCCAGCACGTAATACTATCTGTATTCACACATTGGCTTTGTTTAATTAGAAATATTCACTACTTCAGCAAACCGTGTGTGGAAAGAATGTGGACACATCCACCAGCCCATGGAAAACTTCCCTCACTATTGCCTATGGGCTTTTTCCCCCCTCACAAGCTGTGTTTAATAGGAAGTGTCTCTATTCAGCACACAGTCACAGCCAATGATAAAGGTTATTTCTCTGGGATGGCCATGTTTGTATTGGTATTTGTTCCATATGCCTCTGTTTCCTTTGTGTTCCTTATGGCCCTGCAGCCCCCGCCAGTCCCTCCCGCTATGCTGTGTGACTACCTGCCCTGTTTGCATTGCTCCTTGTACGCATATCACATAGATTACCAGAAAAAATATTTGCTCACTGAGAACAGAAGTCTTTGCATGAAGTGGGCAAGCCACTCGTTCCAAGCCACCAGCTTGCTTGGATCCATTCAGCCTGCTGTAAATACCAGCGCTGATTCAATCAGACGCCGCTGCTAACTCAGTGGGCAGGCCACGAACGCTGGTCGGGATCCAACTTTGTACGGTCTGCTCTGAAGCCGTCGAGGTACCCGGGGTTCAGAGCTCGTCAGGACAGAAAGTTCAGCGGGTGCCGCACGGGGCCGGGCCGGGCGATGCCCTGCGCTGCAGGACGGGGCGGTGCGCGGTGCCGGGCTGAGCCCGAGCCGCCCCCGGAGCGCCGCGGCCGCACTGCGATGCCCGTGGACGCGCTCCGTCGCCCCGCCGCCGCACGGCCTCCTCCGCCCCGCCAGCGCTCCCGGCACGGCTTTAGGGGCCGTGTCACAGGAAACCGGGGCTGGAAGCGCTAAAAAGGAGACGGGAAACTTGGGCGGGAGAGAGAGAGAGGGAGGGAGAGGCAGCCCGAGCCTTCGGGAGAAGTCTCAAAGCTGAGAACTTCCCCTCCTCCCGGGGCACGGCCGCCGCTCGCCGCGGGGCCCTCCGCCCGCCGCCCCCTCCCCAGCGCGGCCCCGGACCACTCACCCATGGCGCGGCGGCCGAGCCCCGGGCGCTCCGCGGCGGCGGCGAGCGCGGAGCGGGGCGGAGCGGAGCGGGGTCCGGCGGCCGGAGCGGAGCCGAGCAGCGCCACGTCGCTCCTGCCCTGCCCCCGGCCGGGCCTTGGGGAGGACCGGGGGGTCCCGGCGCGGCCGTTAAGCTCCTTCTCCCTGGTCGGTGCGGCTGGGGATCTTTTACCGAAGCGAGCTGCGTGCGGGTGTTGCTGAGCGGTCTAAAACCGGGACACGGCGCTGTCCCGGTCCCGCTGTCCCTGTCTCGGTCGCGCTGCAGCAGGAGCAGGGATCTCGTGTCCACGCTCTGCCTGCAGAGCTTTGCTCCTCCGCACTAGAAGGCCTTTAGACAGCCCTCGGGAGATGGGGATTTTGATAAGAGTTTTTAGGTTTCTGGGTTGGAAAGCCAAAGAAAGGCTGCTAGGAAAGGATGGGCCATTTCGAAGCAAAAAAAGAGCAGCACGGCTGACTTTGAACTCTTACCTTTCTCTTCTGTTGAAAAGAAAGGCTGCGTTTCCTGAGGTTGTCTCCTTCCAGCAGCACGGTGCTCCATTAGGCAAAATGTTCTGGTGTTCAACTTTCCTTGCAATTAACGTCCTCTTTCTGCTCAGTGGAACAGAACCCTTCCTGCTGCATGCAAGGCACTGGGACTTGTGCTTGGAGGCAGGGTTTGTTTTCTGAATCTGAGGCTAAATCCATATAACACAAATTGCAGTTTGTAAAACGAGGACTTTACAAAGCTTTATACGCCTAGAAGAGTGAACCTCTTTAACGCAATGGAAACATTCTCCCTTGGTGCTGTTCATACAAACCATAGTCACTGGGCGTGTTGTGATGTGGTGAAGTATGTGTGTGTGCTGTGATGTGCATGCAACGCTCATAAGCCTGCTGTCACCTAATGAGCGTGGGGAGCAGAACAGGGCAATGTGCTGTCAGGACTCTGAGACCTCACGGAGTCACACAGCAGCGACTGTGCTGGAGGATGAGTGGGAATGGCCACAAGCCTGCGTTGTGAGCTGGTTTGTGACCGCAGGGAACGATTGGTTTCGTCACACGGTTCTAATGCCACTGGCACGCTGTGAGCCAAAGCTTTTTGCACAGTACCAGCTCAGCTGCATCGGCCATCACTGCACCTGTGGATGCAGTGCAGGCACAGCCCTCTGACACAGCCAGAAGCAAACAGGTCAGGTAAGGAGTGAAAAACACGTGGTGTCGTTAAAAGAGCTTTACAGTGGTCATTCCACATACTAACTTCATGAGGAATTTAGAAAAACATTTTAGGAATCTTTGTTCTACGTTGTGGAGGGACTGCATGCCATGTCTCTGTCCTGGAAACCCACAGTACTCTTTTTTTTCATGGTTTTGAGATGCGTGAGATGGGCCATATTGGATCATGTCACCCCGGTCTGTCAGTATGGGCAGCAGTTGATCAATGGCTCAGCTCTCATTTCTTCTCAAAGCCATAGTGAATATTAAAAGTGCTTCAAATCATCTGTGTTTATAAAGAAATGCTTCCCATTCATATACTCTAATTGCAGTGGGAATACAGTATGCAGAAATACCTCATCTGCAATGGTGTGTCTCGTGCAGTCTGACAGCTGCATGGGGATCATACAATCGGTGAAGAATGGCTTCAAACACAAACACCAGCCTCCAGAAACCAGTGGTGTTCACAGAAGAGACTCCACAATGAGATTTGCAATTCCTATTAAAGTAGCTGAAATAGCTCTGAAATCATGGCCAGCTCTCACGACACTCAGATGGAGACCTGCAGTTTTCTCTCTTCCCGCAGACCCTGCAGTCCTCAGCATCCGCTGGGTTAACACATCCATGATCTACAACCTGCCTGAACAACTGCTGTATGTTTAACTGCAACTCCTCCAATGAACTCAGCGTGAGAAGGAAGAAATTACATTTTCTCCTCGGTCACTCAGCATTTGTTTATCTGCCAGCATAAAGCCACCCCTGACATTTTCTGGAGGCTTCCTGTTCTCTGGCAGGGCAATAAACATTACTAGCAAAGGCAGCAGGGAGGTGAGGTCCTGGGGAGCACAGCAGAGCTTTATGGTATGTTTGCAAAAGGCGGCCAAAAAGATTACATCAGTATGTGCAGAAATCCAGCTGCAGCATCGGCACTGTGCGTGGCTGTGGGTTATGGTGCTCTGAAACCACACCATGAAAAACTGCTGTGATGTATAGCGAGGATAACTTTGGAAAAAATCTTTCCTTGTGGGTTTTAAAATAACGTGCTTCTCATTGTAACGCTTGGAGTTTGTGGGCATTGAGGGCCTGCTGAGGGCTGCTGCTCTGGTTCTGGAGCTGTGTGTGAGGGGCTGGGAGGGGTTGGATCCAGGGGGCTCAGCACGCCCTTGGCCACACGGCAGCTCCTGCCTCATGTTTCCAGCTTTGCTCTCTGCTGAGATGCTCTCTTCCTCATCTCGAGGTTGTGTGTCTTGGCAGTGCCATATCTCCATCTGATCCTTATCATGCTCTTGGCTGCTGGATGTCAGGGCAGCAAGGGTGCATTCTTGCTTTGCAGCTGAATAACAAAACACCCGGCCTGAGTCACAAGAATGTGCTGCCTGATGTGCCTGGTGCTGCTGACAGCAGCCTGCATTGGGTGCCACAGCCAGGTGTCTGCAGCCTGCTTTGCTTGGCTCTGATCGCTGGAACTCCCTGTGCCTGAGGGCAGCAGCAGCAGAGAAAGCCCTCACGATCACAATGAAAATAGCAGTGCAAGAGGAGAGAGAATCCTGACCTGGTGCAGAACCTCTCCTTAACCCCAGCATGGGAGAAGGCTGGTGCGATTGCCAATGTGATGAATGGAGGGCATCTCACAGGTTGTGTCCGTGTCTGTTGGGGCTGTGCAGGAGCTATTAGCTAAAATATGCCCACAGTGCCAAGAAAACCTCTTGTTCCTTTGGCTGTTTGTGGCATTGGCAAACTGTAAATACAGAGTGCAGTGACACATCTGCTTCCTTGGCCCAGCAGGCGGGATCCTGCAGGGTAGGGCAGCAGCAGGATGGCTCACCCGCATCAGGGACTGCTTGGGAATGTTGTTTAGGAACGGACTGAAGCAGTGTCAATATTTGCTAGGCAAGATCCCACCGTGTGAGCAACAAGCACGGAATGTGGTAATAAAAGATAAATATTCTGAAGAAGAAACAAATGTTGTGGAGGAGAAAACAAGGACAAAATGGAATTGTGGCACAGCCAAGGGTGCCACAGCAGTTTTTTATTTTATTTACATGGTCTCTTGGACCATAAGTCGTGTTATCTGCAAAGCAGGGGGTTTTCGTTGCGCCACGAAGCCCCGAGCACTGCTCCAGGCAGTGAGGGCTGGCCGTCCTTCACCCACGTGGAGCTGTGGGTCTGGGGACACCCAAGGAAGAAGAGACACCCACGGTACCGGCAACCGATCCGAGCCGAAGCCCTGGCGCTGCCCGGCGGGGGATGCGGGGCCCCGCCGTCCCCTGGGGGCGGAGGAGCGCGCCGAGTTCGACGCTTTCCGGCGCTGGCCGCCGAAGATTGCCGAAGCGGCGATCGACGCGCATGCGCGGTGTTGCGGCGGGGCCCGGTGATGGCGGCGGAGGCGGCGGCTGCGGCGGCGGGCGGCGCGGGCACAGCCGGGGCGGAGGACGGGGCAGAGACGGGCGCGCCGGGCCCTGGAGGAGCCGAGGCGGCGCCGCCGCCGCTACCGGGGCTGCAGCTGGTGCAGCAGGGCGCCGAGGCGTGCGTCTACCGGGGCAGTTTCCTGGGGCGGGCGGCCGTGGCCAAGCTCCGCTTCCCCAAGCGCTACCGGCACCCGGCGCTGGAGGAGCGGCTCGGCCGGCGGCGCACGGCGCAGGAGGCGCGATCCCTGCTGCGCTGCCGGCGGGCAGGTGGGCGCTGCCGGGGCGGGCACCGCTGTGCTGGCGGTAACGCAGAGCCGGGAGCTCCCGTCTGCCTGCGGCCAGCGTTCCATTCGTTGTGTTGTGTTGTTTTCAAACAGGGATCCCGGCTCCCGTGGTCTACTTCGTGGATTATGCGTCCAACTGCATCTACCTTGAAGATATTGTTGGCGCGATCGCCGTTCAGGATCACATCTACTCCGTGCAGCGGAGCGGCAGCGATGCCGGCAGCCTCCTCGGCTTGGCAGAGAAGATGGGCCAGCTGCTGGCCAGGATGCACGACGAGGACCTCATCCACGGCGACCTCACGACGTCCAACGTGCTGCTGCGGCCGCCCGCGGAGCAGCTGGACTTGGTGCTGATTGACTTTGGGCTCAGCTTTGTTTCAGGTCTTCCTGAGGATAAGGGAGTCGATCTATATGTGCTGGAAAAAGCCTTCCTTAGTACCCATCCCGATACAGAAACTGTGTTCCAGGCTCTGCTACAGAGCTATGCGGCCGCATCTAAGAAATCCGGCCCAGTGATCAAACGTCTGGATGAGGTGCGGCTCAGGGGGAGGAAGAGGTCCATGATTGGGTGACAGCAGGCAGCGATGGGGAAATATTCCTGCTTGGTTCTGCCTGGGAGGTTATTTATACTTCCAGCTACATTTATTGCACAGATTACTATTTTGATAATAGTGTCTTGTATAAAATAAATTGGATTGGATTTCTAACTGTTGTAAAGTTACCCAAATAATGTTGAAATGTGAGTACTGAAGGTCGCTTCTGACCTCAGCATTAGATGTTTCTGTTGAAAAGCAGCTCTGCTCCATGGGCCTTGTTCTCTGTGCAGGTACAACACCTGGTAATCTTTTCAGCCCAGGGATTGCGGTTTCCTGGGAGGTGAGGGGTGAGGGAGTACCTACAGAGCATCAACAAAAGGTCATCAAGGAAAACAGATGTGCTGTTTTTCTCAGGCTACAGAGTGTTTCAATCCATTATCATGGCCTCTGCACATGCTAAAACGTCTCAAGACTCTGAATTCCAGGACACGAGCAATGGTTGAAATAGAATACTAAACACAGGACAAGTTCAGTTGCTTCTTTTTTTCAGTAGTAATTTTGAGTTAGTTTTCAGTTGATATTCTGTTGTTAAGTATATGCAACAGTTGTTAATGAAGAGTTTTCTGCTCAGAAACATCAATTGATGCAAGAAATCTGCTGCAAATTTCTGTTTTTGTAGGTTTATGTGGTGATCTGCTTGCACTGTGATGTCCTGCCTACCTGTGGGAGGTATTGGTGGGTTTTGGTAACTTTTCCTTGTATTAATTGATTCATGGTGTAATGGTGTGAATGTAAGATGGCGCAGAGGAAGTTTATGAGCCCATGGTACAGGGCGACCAGTCCTGCATTACGTGCTCTGTGAGCTTTGACGCTTTCAGAAATGAGTTGAGGTTCTGTGCCCCTTAGGAGAAGGGAACGCTGTTCCCTCTTGCTGCTGTGATGGAGCCGCAAGGGCTTTGAGAACGGGCTGAACGGAGGGGCCGAGCCCGCAGCTCCGCCCCACGCTGTGCGCTGCTGTGTGCGGCGCTGCGCTGGGGGCGGCGAGGCAGGGAAGAAGGCCGCGAGCGGCGCTCGGGAAGCTTTCGGCGGTGGCGCAGCGCTGATGTCGCCGCTTTGTCGGTCGAAGTTTCGCGGTTCGCGGCCCGCGCGGTGCAAGTGTCCTAGCGCTGCGGGCTGCCCGTGCCCGGCGCGCATTCACTTCCTTGCCAGAGGAGGCACTGGGCGAGTGCTCGGCTCCAGCGTGGGGCCCGGGTTCCACCGCCTCAGATACAGCTTTGCCCCTGGGTCGCGATGGGTTGTTTTCTTCTGTTTTGTTTTTAAAGTTACAAGGGATGCCGCCAAGGCTTGCTAACCTGTGCATCTGCCCCGCGCACAGCCCTGCGGCAGTTCCCTGTAGCCCGGCAGGCTGGGCTGCGCAGAGAGCGAATGCAGCAACATTCAGCCGCTGAGGCTCCTGCAGGGTGCTGGACCCGGGCCTTGCAGCGCAGTGGGAGCAGGTGGATGTGAGCTAATGAGCCCCTGATCGGAGCCCCCCACACCCCCAGCACGCCGCCTTCCCTGCCCACCGCCCCATCTGTACAAACACTGCTCTGCCTGCCTCCCGGTGATGCCAGGGCTGTTATGTTTGCAGAGCCCTTTGAAGCAGTCTGTTTCTAACTATGAGTATGTTTATTAAAATGCAGTCCTCTCTGCAGGAGCATGGAGTAGAAACAAAGCTGATGGACTGCAAGTTTTTATGGCCGGGATGCTGTAATGAGCGCTGAGCTGAGAGTGGAAAAATCCCAGCAGGTGCGTATTGTAGTGGTGTGCTCCCCCCATACATGCACTTCTTCCTCCAGCTCCCTCCCTCGGCCCTTGCACAGGAGGGCTGTGAACAACAGCACTCATAGCACTTGGGCTAAGACAGATTCATGGCCACAGACCTGTCTCAAACTGAGGGGCAGTTCAACAGCAGAGGGCCAGTTGGTATGTGGCTAAAATACCATGAATCCGTCATCTGACTCCATAAATATTGAATGGCCCAAGAGTACCTGAGCTCTCCTGCATGGCAGCATGACAGGATCTGCCCTGGAGCAGGGATGCCCTGGAGGTTATGCCTGCACTGATCTTTTACACATTGATGCCAAGATGCTTTGCCAACACAGATCCTCAGTAAGTGATCAACAGTTTGCTTTAGGCTTTGTTAGCTTTGCTAAGATCGTATCTTTGTGCATGTATAATCCCCTTAGACATCAACTACTGACCAAATATGACACTATAGGAGTGGATTCAGCTCCTTACCTATGTGGTTCAAGCAGTTTAGAAAGAAAAGGGGTCCGCTCTCAACTGCATGACTCAATGGGAGGAGCTCCTCTGTGTGTGGCTTTTCCCTGCCCTTCATCAGTAAGCAATCCACTGTATCCAGCCATCTCAAGTCTTGTTGTGTACTTATTTACAATCAAGCTTTGTTAAGCACTGTATCATATCTATATTATATCAATAAATAATTCTAGCTTCTCTCTTATTAGCGTAGTGTCACTGTTACCATCTGTGATGTATCCACAAAGAGGAGGCTCCAGACCTGCAGAATACCGACCTGCACCTCCCTGCATCCCTGCCTGTGTCACTGCTATAGTACTTGGAGCTGATCCTTGGGTCACAGTTGTGTGTGACACCAGGAGAACCGGTGATGTTCTGCCCCAGCTTATCCAGGTGAGCTGTTTGCACCAACCCTAGGGGTATGCTGGCCTTCACAAATCCCAAAGAGGTCCTTTCTGCCACCTGAGAGGACATGGAATGGTGGGATAGTGCAGGGTGATGGCTTGCATTGCACACAGCCACTGGGTGTCTCCCTGCCATCGTCACCAGCACTGAAAAAAAGTCTGCATTTGGGGAAAAAAAGGTCTTCCAACAGCAAATATTTGTAGTTGTGTGCTGGACAGGCAGCTGGTCGGTCTGCTGCTTTCTACATCTCAAATGTTGCAGGAGACCAAGGGCAGACTGCCACAAACAGCTTCATTTCCAGTGTTTCATTCCCACTGCTTTGGGAGCAGTCTGCCCTTGGCTTCTCCCAAAGTGGAAGGAATATGGAGGGTGTGCAGGCAAGCTGGGAAGGAGGGAAAAAGGAAAGAGGGAATGGCAAAGGGAACAGAAGTAATAGAGTTTCATAGAAAGAATTGAGTGTTAAGGGTTTGAATGGGACTGCTGGTTATTGATGAGATTGTGTTTCTGGTGTTTGATTGCTGTTGGTGATTTCTCTTATGGAAAAGGGCAGGCAGCCACCCAGCTCAGGTTCACCAGCCTGGTAGAATTATTTTTATAACTATATAACTTTTAAGTAATATTACTTTTTCAGTAATAATAATGAACTTTGCTTAGCCCACTAATGGCATAAGTACAGAACTAAAATAATGGGATTTTTGGAAACCTGTGGGTTGTAGACCTCTAAGTCCTCCAAGAAGAAAAACAGTTGTGGGAGAAAATGCATACTAGTATGGCAAGAAATAGGGATGAGAATGCAGTTGCATAACCTGGGTATGCTGTTACATGACTTTTGAACATCACCTCTTCTGTGTGGGCAGTTGCTGTGTGCATATGTAAGCTCTGCATGTAGGTGATACAGTGTGGGTTTTTTTAGTCTGTGCCTTGATGTCTGCAGGAAATTGATATTTCCCAGTTTTGCAAGATGCAAAACACTGATAACCTTTTGCAACCCATCAGTGCTGATAGGAAACCAAGTCAGTGCCATAAAAGCATAAAAGCTCATTTGTAGCCCAGAGTTCAGTGTGTGAGGGTCACCACAGGGAGATAAAGCCTCTCCCTGGCCAGGCACAGGCTGCGTCCCACCACCTTTCTCCCCATACGAGGAGCTGGGGGCCGGGTGAGGCAGCTCACAGCCTGCAGTGCTCTCAGCTGGGAAATGAATGGAGACAGCACAGGAACCTCCTTTTTATTTTCCTATCCCGATACAGTTTTATTCCTGATGTTATGCACAGAAAGGCCAGAGAAAAGTCCCCATAGCTCTCCTTTGGTCAGCTCTGTGCTTTCTCTGGGCCCCAAAAGAAGGAGCGTTTGCCAGTGGGGCTGTATGGCTGCAGGGCCAGAACCAGGCGGATGTTGGATCCTCACTGTGCCAGCAGCCCCAGCAGTGCCCAGCCAACCTTTTGTGTCTGTTCAGCTCCAAAAGCAGCCACAGTAACGATGCTTCAGCCCCTGCCTGGAGTGGGTGTGGGGATGGACTGATTTGTTACCATTTGTGCAAAGCTGTCCATGTTCTGTTAAGGAAGCGGAGGGGAACATTTGGAGCATGGCTGTGCAGGGGGAGCAGCCTGGCTCTGTGCTGTACCACCACACTCAGCCTCTTAACTTCTCGTCCCCTCTGTGCCAATGATTCAGGGCTTCTGTAAGACAAGAGCTTTCCCCAGTGGGCTGTCTGCCTTTTCATCTGATTCACTTGCCTCTAACGCCTTTGATGCAGTAGGAGTGATGGGCATGGAGGCAGCTCTGCAGAGAGCTGATTATTTGCAGGAAGGGATGGGTCTCCATGCTGAGCAAGATTTCTACACATCCCCCATGTATCTGGGCCCCAACTCTCACAGGTTCTGAATGCTTTTAAAGCACTCAGAGGACGCTGCTGGAGCACTAAGGCAGAGGTTTATATTGCCTTCCCTCCTCTCCTTAGCTTCCTTTAACCCCAACCTTGATGCAAAAAGCAGAGAATGCTCAGCTCCTCCGGCTTTGATCCACCTGTCAGAGCTTCAGCCTAAGTGCTATGGTGTGTGCCCCTCTCTCGGCCCTGTGCACAGCAGTGCAGGAGGGGTCCTGTCCAGGGCTGCAGCTCCTCAATTTCCTTTTCGGCTCAGACTGAAGCATCCTCTCCCGTCAGGCTGTACCAGGGCCGGCCGGGCTGCAGTCATACGCTCCTCACTTGATTCCTGAGCCTTACCCTGGTGGCGGCCAAGACTTTGCCTTTCCGGTGTTTCCATGGTCCCGTCCCGCTCCGCACCGCTGCGCTTTTGTTCAGCGTTCATTTATTTTTAACAAGAAAAGCGCTTCACGCGGCACCGCGAAACAAATCGTCAGACATCCGAGCCCCCGCTTAGACCGAATAACAGAATCACGCAACCGCAGCGGAGCCGCTGTCGGACAGAGACCCGAGTCCGGAGCGGGGCGGGCCGGGCTGCGGGCGCTCCTCCCGGCGGGCGGGGCGGCCTCGTTCCCCCCTCCCTCATCCATCCCGCCCCGGTATAAAGCTGCGGAACGGCGCGGGGTGCGGGATGCGGGATGGCGGCGCTGGGGGCGGTGGTGAAGAAGGCGTGGAGCGTGCGGCGTGCCGTGGTGCTGCTGGGGGCGCCGCTGGCGCTGCTGCCCGTGCTGCTCAGCCTGCCCGCCAAGGTACCGCGTGGGCACCGCGCTGCTGCCGGGGCTGTCAGACACAGAGCGGGGCGCGGAGCGGGGGGCGCGGAGCCGAGGTGTGCAGAGCCGAGGTGTGCAGAGCCGAGGTGTCCAGCTGGTGCGTGGACGGGCGTCGTCGGGCCGCGTTGACATTTGAAGGGGTGGGCTGAGCGAACTGTGCTCATGTAGGCTTCTGTCGGGGAGTTGTATGGAACCGATGGTGCTGGATTCTGAAAGGTTTCGTGAGATATTCATGTTCTGTAGGTGCGGGATAAAATTGCTTTGGAAAGGTTTGGGCTTTGGGATGTGAATGAGGCTGAAGGGTTTTGCAACTGTCCCTCACGCACCGGGAGCATCCTCGGGTGGAAGCACACGGGGCTGTGAGGTCACAGGGAAACTTGTGCCACTGACCTCAGTGTGTGGGGTTTTGCCTGATGTTGCGACTCAGATCCCTCTGAGAATGACTCAGGTTGTATCAGAGGATAGGTGATGTTTGGTGCGTAGCGATGACGGCGTGATTCGGATGCAGCGAATGCCACGCAGGTGCATTTGTTGAGTGCGTTTCTGTGGGCAGCCTGATCCAGTGCATGGTCTGGTGGTTGGCAACCCTAACCATGGCATGGGGGTGGAAGTAGATGGTCTCTGAGGTCCCTTCCTACCCAACCCTTCTCGGATCTACTTCTGCCTGTGCAGTGCTTATCTGTGAAATCTCTACATGCAAGACAGCAAAATGACTCTCCGGAATTAAAACAATTAATACTAATATGACCGTTGCTTTAACAGATGCTCATGGAAGAGTGTGCTGACACCCAAGTTGCAAAGATTTGAGTGTTTGAGGAAGGAATGGAATAAAAAATCTCTGCTTGTGTTCAGGGAGCAGCAATTCCTCTGCGCTATCCTCATGGAATTGCCCCTTGCTGTTCAGCACAGAGGGAATGTTGCTGTTGTGTCAACACAGGATTAGGCGCAGCCACCCGGAGCCTGAGCTACAGGGCTGTAGGAAGCAAAGGGAAGGGCTCAAACTTCTTGCAGCAGTGTGAGGGCTTGGGGAAGGGGGAGTAGGAGCAGCGGAAGGCATGGGAGCTGCCTCCAGCATTCAGCAAGCTTCATACAGTGGGAAATCAGCTTACTAATCTGATGCTGGTGTCATTGGAATGCTCCTCCAGACAGGAACCCACAGCAAGGTGGGGCTGGAGGAGCTGTCGAGCAAGGTGCAGCTGTTGGAGCAAGTTTTGTGTTACTGAGTTTTTGCACATCTGGAGCATGGCAGTTGGGTGGACTGGAGAGCCACATGCTCCCATTGAGTGGTCGTTGTGCTGTGTGGTGAGAGAAGCCCATAGGGCATGAGAACATTGGGGTGCAGCCTTGGGATGAGGCTTTCCTCATGTAGGTGTCTACTGAGAGGTATCTCTGTGGCACTCTCCTGCTCTGGGGATACTGAAATCTCTTGTCATGTCAAGTGAGAATTTACCTTCTCCCCAGTGAGATGCTCAGCAACTCTCATCTCCACAGAGACCGTATACACATGGAATATACCAAGCTGGAAGGCATCCACAAGGATCAGAGCTATAGGGAGCCACCTGAGGTCTGGCTTCAAGGGCAGCATCTCAGTTGGATCGGGAGACTGAGATATCATAATCTAAAGTTGATAGAGCAGAGAAACACAAGTAGGATGTGATTTCTTGGATCCATATGTGCTCTTGGGTGAAACCTCGAGGTCTATGTGCAATGGGTTCCCCTGTGAAACCTGCACCTCAGTTACCCCTCCCCAGAGCTGAAACCTTTTGAGGAAGAGGACACTTCAGGTCTGGCCTTGCTTATTGCTGCTGACATCCAGTATCCATAGCTACAATGCTACATATCAGCTGTCACCCAGGCTGGGGGCTCTCCAGGCTGCTGTGCCCCTCCTTTCAGAGGTACAGTGTCAGGGCTGCACTGGTGCTGACGTTTTACTGACATTCCTTGTTTTCATAGGATCACAGAATGGTTGGGTGGGATTAAAAATCATCGATCTCCAACCCTGGCCATGGGCTGGCTGCCCCCAACCAGATCAGGGTGGCGAATTTGATGAAGCCCTGGAGGAGGAGATTCTATGAAGGGATTTCCTTTGCAATCTCCTTTCTCTTCAATAGAGAAATGAAATTTCTGCTCTGTCAGCAGGTTACCAAAACCCCCAGATGTGCTCTCCAAACTGAGTTTGGAACACTGAGAAATGAGTCGTGCCTGTAACATAACCCAGCCCAGAGCATAATACCCCATGCTCCCCACTAAGCACAAGGGTCTGTGTCAGCTCCAGCTCTGGTGGCTGCTGAAATGGC